CTTCTTCTAGTTTTCTGGGGGCTAATTGGAGCTGAGTCTCACAGGGCGTTTTCTGCCTGGGTGGGCTTCGAGCCCCAATCCTCAGATATCAGACTTCTAAGTAGCTAGGATTACAGGTGTAAGTCATTAGCGTCTGGATTTTTTAAAAAAAATTTTATTGTAAAGGTGATATACAGAGGGGTTGCAGTCACATAAGTCAGGTAATAAGTACATTTCTTTTTGAATACCTCTTCCCTCCTTTTCTACCAGTTTTTTTGCCCTCCTACCTCCCCACATCCACAAGTTATACAGATAATTTTCAGCATATCATCTAGTAAGGTATCACTGCTGAATTCATTCACCCTTTGTCTCACCATTTCCATGCTTCCCCTTACCCTCCCCAAATCAGATAAACTTACATATAATACAAAAGGTACAGAAATCAAAGACAGCAACAAAATGGGGGAAAACAGAGAAACAAAACACAAACACAAAAATTTAAAATATCTCATTTCCATGTCTTGGAGTTCATTTCGATAAGCATCATATTACGTGATCATATGCACAAGCTATTGGGCCTTTGTGATCCTATTCTAAGACTATCTTCCTTTGGTCTCACTGTGTGAATGTTTAGAGTCCTTTTTACTTTATCATGTCCAAGTGCAATTTGACTTTTACTACCCATTTTGTTTACTTGTAGATTTATAGGCACATTCTAAATACTACAAATGAGGGGAACCACGCAACCTATGTTCCTTTGGGTCTGGCTTATTTCGCTTAATATGATTTTTTCCAAGTCTTTCCATTTCCTTACAAATGGGGCGATATCATTCTTTCTGATGGAGGCATAGAATTCCACTGCATATATATACCACATTTTCTTGATTCATTCGTCCACTAAAGAGCACCTGGACTGATTCCTTCTAGGAGCTTTTTACTCAAGCTTTCTATTGAATTGAAACCCACTAAGCTGGCCACTCACCTTAGTTTAGGAAGAAGTCTTGGAGCTGACAAGAGGATTTAAATTCGCCAGGCCAAAGAAAGCCAGCAGAGATTTCAAAGCAGTAGTTACTACAGAGACTCACCATCTAGACTGTAAGCAATCATGCCATCTTACCTACAGCTTGCAGCACTTTGCTGTGTGGCTTTGGGCAAGACAGTCCTGGGGTTGAGGCTCCTCTGAGCTTCCATGTCCTTTGGTCCATCTTGTTGGACTCTGTTGAGAGCTGCTGCTCTTAACTACTAATCCCTCTTGGAATTCTTACCCAGATCCATCATTCAAGGGACTAGGGGGAATTTGCAATGTTTTTGAAAGGCTTGTGTCATGACTTCGTCATGGTGAGACTCTCCTTAGACTGTACTCTACAGGCCACCTCTAGCTACGGTTTCATTACTTGCTCCAAATAATACACACAATCTAAATATCTGTGGTGTCCCTCAATCCTTAAACATCACCTGCAGCATTTTGGTAATGCGGAACATATATAATGTATCAGGAAAGTCTAGAGGAATCTGCGGGCACTAATGGGAACTACTGCTCTGTTGAAAGACAACTAGAATTTATTTACTACTGATGGAGTTAGCTTGGACTCAATTTTTGGCCATTAGGAACAAAGCTACTGTGACTATCTACTAGGATAAAGCACACACCATTTTGCTATTCCTTTTTTTATGTGAATTACCTAGTGTCCTTTTATTTTGCTTATTCACTTTTTGTTTGACTTTTAGGAATTTTTGTTACTGATGGATATTAGTCTTTGGTTCTATAAATGTGATGTAACTATCATTTTCTAGACTGTGACTTGTCTTTACACTCTTGAATGGATTTGTGATACTTTTAGCAAACTATGACTTAAGAAAGGAGTTTTCTTAATTTGATAATGTGTCAACAAAAACACAGCTGTTAATATGCTTAGGATGAAACTAATTGCTTTTCTTGATATATATATATATATATATATCATATATCACATTGCATATATATTGGCTTTCATATATATATATATAGGCTTTCATTTATATATAGAATATATATATGGAATATTTATATATGGAAACCAATGCCTCTGCTATTATTAGTCAACATTCTGTAGGAGATTCTTGCCAGAGTAAGAATCTCCAAACATCAATCTATTCATGTGTGAAACAGGGGCAATATTAGATGCAAAGAGAAAGCGGGAAGTTCTCTGTCGTTGAATTTATACAGCCATTTAGCCTTACTCTTCTTGTACCCTATCAGTTGTGTGACTGAATCATATGTTTTAACCAAGGGAATATTGTTCAAATTGATGACATGCTGGTTTAAAACTGAGTCCTGAAGAAGCCTCATGTATTTCTGCCATAACTTTAGGAAAATGCTGTTGGGTACCCATGCATCTCTGGTAAAGAGACACATGGAGCAGATCTGACCTCAGTGTAACCTGCAAGCAAGCTGAGCCAGTCCTATAGAAGCACAGCCAACTCATGGACCGAAGAGCATGCAAAAGAAATGCTTGTTCCTAGAAGCCTCTGAGTTTTAGGAGCTAGTATGTTATACCATATTGTTGTAATCTGAATTAGCTGACAAATATATTTGGCATATAATTAGTACTTAATAAATAGTAACTGTTTAACTTTAGCCTGTTCCCTCATCTGAAAGTTGGAAATAATGCTACAATATAGAGCTATTTAGGAGTAAGAGAACCAATATGCATGTAAAGAATTATATTTCTTTAGGCATATTCCAAAGAACATTGATACAGAAAAAGGTAATGGCATTGTCTGCTAAAATCCAAAATCCACAATGGTCAGTTACAGTTGGGAAATGTTGCAGGCAAATGGAAGAGGATCTTACGGCAGACTTTCATGGAGACTTAACAATGAGCATGTTGAAACATATAGAGAGGGTGTAACACAACTGCTGGTGGCTCACACCTGCGATCCTGGCTACTCGGGAGGCTGAGAGTGGAGACCGGAGTTTCAAAGCCAACCCAGGCACAAAAGCCCGAGACTCCACCTCCAATAAAATGCTGGAGGAGGCATGTCTCAAATGGTAAAGCATTAGGCATGAAAGACCAAGAAGGCTGAGCTCACTGAGCAAGAAAGCAGGTGAGGTGATGAGTTCAAGCCCTGGTGCATATACACACACACACACACACACACACACACACACACACACACACACACACACACACACACACACACACACACACACACACACACACAGAGGTACAGAATAATTTGGTCAAGAATATTCCATGGAGCCTATCTGAGGAAATGCCAGTGTAACCTACTTAGTAGGATGTTTATCAAGAAACTTTATTAACTTGGATTCTCCATTTTATATATTAAAATGGTTTTCAATATAAGTTTTATTATTATTCAGACTTGGGTTTTGCACAATTTTACTCTAACCATATTGACAGGTTTTAATAATGCAGTATACACACACACACACACACACACACACACACACACACACACACACACAGCTTCTATTTTCTAGCATTTTCTCTAAGTTGTTGGCTTTGATTAAGTGGATCTCCTGAACTTCCATGGGTTGAAATTCGTAATTTGAAAGTAGAACAACAATAGAGTGGGTAACAATGTTCAACGAGAAATGCACCTTACTCATGTAAATATAACCCCTCTGTACAGCGTATTTACAATAAAATTAAATTTTAAAAATAGTAATACCAACAAAAAGCCACCACATAACATATATATGTCGTTTGCACATTCCTTTCTTCCAATTTTGCGATTTTTCTGGCTTCTAGTGCCATGCTGAATCCAAAATGGCTCAATTGACAACAGTTATCAACTGGCTTTTCTATTATTACACACCCAGAAAACAGAATAGAAAAACCAATACCTCCTTTGGTGGTCTCACTGCTAAGCTCTCCTAAAGGCATGCTTCAAATCAGCCCTACCCACCTGTCTCCCCAGTGTTCAGTCTTCAGGCTCCTGAGGTAGGCTGCAAGGTTCAAATCTCAGGTTGTTTCCCAAACTGGTACTTTTGGTAAAGCCACTGAACCTGAGCCATGCTTTTTCGCTTGTACAATGAACATAAAAGCAACTTCAACATCCACGAACATGAAGTAAGAAATGCAAGTTGAGTATTTAGTTGTTTGGTTTGGGTTAGTATGGGACTTGAACTCAGGGTCTCATGCTTGCACTCTCCCCTGGCATTCTGCTCAAGGCTGGCAAGCCTGATGCTTTACCACTTGAGTCATGTTTCCCACCTTTGAGCTTTTGGTGGTTAATTTTCTGCCTGGCTTCACACTGTGATCCTCAGCTTTTTTGTGGGGGGAGGGCGGTCCGGTCGTGGGGCCTGAACTCTGGGCCTGGGCACTGTCCCTCAGCTCTTCAGCTCAAGGCTAGTGCTCTACCACTTGAGCCACAGTGCCACTTCCAGCTTTTTTCTTTTTGCTTATGTGGTGCTGAGGAATCGAACTCAGGGCCTCATGCATACAAGGCAAGCGCTCTACCACTGAGCCACCGTCCCAGCCCCGATCCTCAGCTTTTAACCTCCCAGTAGCTACAATTATAGGCATGAGCCACCAGTGCCCCACTGTGATTGGTTTCTTAAGTCTGTTTTTGACAAACTAAGTCTTCTTCGCTGGAATCAAATCCTTTCTTTGGAGACTGTGAACTACATAAATATTAACACAGTAACTGGCAGTCAAACAAGGGCCTTTAGCTCTGCTAATTGTGCTTTGCCTTTGAGTAATGGCATGGTTAAATATAAACAAAGATACTAAAACCTACGTTTATAGAGACAATCTTCACTGCAAACCGCAACAACACAATACGAACTACACAAGACAACCCAAGTGGGCTTCAGGGTTGGGAAAAAGGAGTCTAAGAGAGTTCAAGACCACATTTTGTAGTCTAGACAAGCCCTACCGCCCACCCATTAGCCACATAGTCTCAAATCCTGACTGGGGAATACCTCAGTCTCAGTGAGGAGGGGGGACAAGAGAGAAGGGAGGTCCAGGAGCAGAACAGACAAAAATCCAAATCACAGAAACAAGTGACCAGCCTTTCTCTGCACATACTAAGTTGCTTTTATTAATCCAGAACGGCATGCTACAGGTACTGTACAGCATGGACATTTATTCATTACAAAAATGGCTTCCAAACCATTCAAAATGAACTTGGAATAAGAGCATAAAACGGAACAGTAACATCACAACTGTTAGGAAACATTCAAAGTATTCACAAAAAAGAAAAAAATGTTATAGTTAGCATTTTAATAAACCAGAGAAAAATCGGAGACAGTTTTACAATCGCTTCATGTCAACTACAATGGCACTGAATGAACAGGTCTTAGCTTTATACAGCATTTGCAACATCAACATGCCTAGGTTTTTTTTTTTTTATTTTTAAAGTTCGCTACCTACTTGTATGTAATATACGTCCATAGAAGCGGCAGCTGGATTTTTCATTTAAGAGTAATCTAATATACAGAATTTTGGCCCTTAAGGGTTTATACCTCTTCATTTAAAATGCTTTCTGGACAATCTGCTATCAAACACATTTTGTTATAGGTGACATTAAAACTACATACAAATCTACCTATGTAACATCACAGCAAAACATGATGAACAGAAAGTACAGCATCAAAAAGGGAGAAAGCTAAAGTCACTGAGAGTTTTGGCACATCAAGTTTTGCACACGGTCAGTCCATGTCCTAAGGGTGCAGGGCGTCTGACTAGGATTCAAGGGCGGGGCAAAACAAGGGCAGTTCCCACTGCTGCTCAGACAGCATCTAACATTCCCTCACTACAGTTCAAGTCTTGTTTTACTTAATGGCTTTTGAAGCAACTTTTGTTAATGCTACTGATCCTTGATGCAACTATTAATGTCCATTTGGCGGTATCTGGGTTTCAGACAGAAAAAAAGAAGTCAAAAAAAAAGGGAAACAAAAAATATATATACACATTTTTATATATAAACTTAAAAACCTTGTACAAATGAGTTGTTATATATAAGATGCTTATGCTAAGGGAGGGGGAAAAAAACTTTATACAGTTCCAAGAAAAAGGGGAACAAAACATATTTAAAAAGAGACAACATACAAGTACAACAAGCAACCTCTAAAGCAATAAATACTACTGGTCCAAAAGCATGATGATTCCATTAATTGTTGAGTAGCAACCCCCTCCCCACAAAAGAACAACACCAAGGAACAAGGTATATTAACACATTTTTAACCCTTTGTTTCTGTACATTTAAACAATAACAAGTAACATCACAATAAAAGTTGTTTCACACAGAGAAAAAAAAATAAAGGTAATGGCACGGCATCCATTGTGCCCTTCTGGTTCAAAAACCAGGTGTAAAATGATTGGTTCGCAAGCTCGTATTTAATACAAATAATACAGAACCAACTCCTTCTGGAGGGCTGCTTCAAAATTGCTTCTCTCTCTCTCTTTTTTTTTCTTTTTGTTTTTAATCAGTCTTTTAAAACTAAGCTATCAGAACTACATAACAGTTATGTATATATATATATTTATTTTTAAACGCTACAAAGACTTTAAACAGCTGTTGATAAAAATTTTGGTAGAATCATGAGGTTCTTCTCTCATCTACATATTTAAAAGGAGAAATTGAAATAAGAATGGGTCAAATATTGACCAATGAACTCGATAAACATCAACTCATGTAGCCACGTGGCACAAAATTAAAAGAGTACAAAACAAAAGCTTTCCAAGTAGGGGTGAGGGGTGGGGAGAGGAGCAAATCAAGAAACCAAGAAGAAAGCACTCATCTCAGGCAGGGCTGACAAAGCTAAAGCTATTCTAAAGACTTGGTTACGAGGGACAGAGGCTGGGGCTGGGTCCCAGTCAGCACGTTGTGGGAATGTAAGGAAGATGTCGATGGCTGTGCAAGTGATGAGGACGGGATGATGGGTGGCTGCAGGGCGGCAGGTGGTAGGTCCAGGGCCCCGTTGGGACAGAGGGCAGAGGCCTTGCTGTGGGCGGCCTCGGCCAGCAGGAGCGCCGGTGGCGGAGGCATCATGGACAGGTGGGCCAGGGGGTCAGGCTTCAGGGAGAGCGAGAGTGGCTGGGTTTGCTCAGTCTGTGACTTGGCGTCTTGGGGAGGGGAGCCTAGCAGGTGTGGGGACGGGGGTGGCGAGTCTAGTAAGCTTCCATCTGAAGAGGGCGGGCTGAGGCAGCTGCCTTCACCTTGTATGTAGCGAACGCACTTTTTTTTTCTCCTAGAAACAGGAGGGAGAAAGTTATGTGAATAAAGGGCAAAGATGCCAAGAGACAGTTATCTAGTGCTCACGGCAAATGGAAGTCACCCAACGGTTTGTCTACATAGCATGGCAGGCTGGTGGCTGGGCAGTGAAATTAAGAGATGCCACTGGCTGCACTGTTCCCTCAACCATGGGCCCATGAAGAAGCTGGCTTTGGCAAGGAAGATATTCAAGAGACACCCTACTTCCTTTCCCATCCTCATCTCTTCCCACATGTAAGTGAGTTGACTACGCGAAGTCACCTGTACAGAGTGGCTTCATTTGAACTGTGACTGACACAAATGGTTATTTCTCTTTGGGCCTACAGACTCTTATCATTTGTCCTCTCTACCACCTCCCACTACCTCTCACCAGTCCCCAATGATGAATGTGTATTTAAAAGAGAAAGACAGAGCTCCTTCCCCGGGCTGTCCCTTATCAATATGAAACTCTAAAAAATGCTAACTGTTGAGCCCACATAGCTGAAGACAGAGCTAACTAGAGGCTTAAAGGTCTTAACACCACACTACCACCACCACTACCACCTCCACCACCACCACCACCACCACCACCACCACCACCGTGAGGCTGCTGGTGCCCAGAGAGCTTTTGGGCTTGTCTGTTAAGAACCACACCAAATCAAGAGAGGTCAGAATCAGGTGAGAGGGAAGGGAGGGAGTAGGGGAACAAAAATAAAAACACATTAAACTAAAACAAAAACAAACCAACCAAAAAAGAAAAAAAAAGGAAAAAAAAACAACAAAAAACAAAAACAAAAAAGAACCACCGAAAACAGTTAGAAGAGGAAAAATGAAGGTGGGGAAAGGGGAAGAATAAGAAAAACAGAAAATGATCCAAAGGAACAAGAATAACTGGTTGTATGGCCTGCAGGTTGTGGATTAAATTAGGATTCAAACTTGATTCCCCCCCCCCTTTTTTTTAAGGTTTGGGGACTTCCCCTCCCCTGTCCCTTAGTCAGAAAGCTTGGAAGGAGAGCCAGTGGGATAAAGGCCCATCGGGCGCTTGCCATATGCAAAGGCCAGGAAGTGAAGGGCACAGCACAAGCCGGTCACACAGAAGGGACCACAAAGAAGAGGTGGCAGGAATTGCAGCAGGGACCTTCCTAGGTTGGGATTATCATGATCCATGTTTGAACCAGAACATCTAATTCTGTCCTAAACCATCCCCAGAGTCTCCCTCTCTCACTTGCCCCATGTGTATAAGAAACAGGGATGAGAATGTCAGAGCCTTTCTTGCTTATCATCAAAGGATGAGGCTGAGGGATGAGGAATCAACCCAAGAAATTGGGCATGTGACTTCAAAGCCTCTTCCAACCATTAATCTCAGTCTGACGGGATCGTACTTGGTAGGAAAGGTGATCCTGAGGATCAACCTACTAATACTGTAAAAATAATGCAGATACAGGATGTGCTTAGCCAAAGGCCCTTAAGTATACAGTCAGAACCATGGCTGGTAATGCTTCCTCTGAATACAAGTGTGTGAGCACTGGCCAGCTTTCTTGGTGTAGAACAATGGAGATGTTGCCTGCTGGAAGGCAGCTGCTGTAAGACAGGGTCACTGCCTTTGCAGGGAAAGGGGTATCCTGAGTTCCTCCTTTGCTCTGAGCCCCAGAGCTGTCTTCACACCCATCACTGAATGGGGCATGGACTCTGAAAGATGTCAGGAGGGGGAGGGAAGAAAGGGAAGGGAAAAGGGAGCATGCTCAGTCCTCCCTGCTTGGCCCAGAGGCCAGGACCTGTGGGGCAGGTGGCTTTGGGTCTGTTTGTCATCTCTGGATCAGAAGGAACCCTGGGGGGGGGGGGAGCAGAGACAGCAGCCACTCTTTCCTCCGCTTAGCAGGGTTCCTTCTGCTCCCTGTGATAGAATGTTCTGGACAAGAGATTCTGTTCCCATCCCAGGAACTGAGATTAAAATCATGGAAGCATCTCCGTTTTAAACCACCTGAGCCTGCAGATCAAAACATGCTCAAAAACTAAGAAGTCCATGCATTTACAAATCGAGGAAAGGAAAGAAGGTGGGAACGGGGAGGGTATAAGCAAAACTGAGAAAGCAAGGGGGAAAATGAAAGAGAGGAAAGGAGAGGGCGAGTGGAGGGTGGGATGGGGGCAGCCAGGCGGACAAGGGAGCAGCAGCTCAAGGCAGCATTCCAGGCTCTATTAGGGCAGAGTGGAAACATGGGAAAGCAACTTGGTGGGCTCAAAACAGAGTCTGGTAAAAATGTCCTCCAATGCCAAACAACATTAGAAGCCCTGTGTGGTGAGCTAGGAGCCCTGACAAACTACAAGTGTTTCTGGGTCTTCCTCAACCCTTCGTCCCTCCCTTCCTCCCTCCTAATGAAGTGGGAAGTTTCCATGCCATGGGAGTGCACGCATTTTGAACATAGGACACAGAGACTATGGGGACAGAGCGGTGATCCTCCAACAGGGCTGAGCAAAAAGTGGCTGGAACACACACACACACACACACACACACACACACACCCACACCCACACCCACACACACACACACCCCTGAAGAGTCAGAAAATGTCTCTGTTTACAACTGCTTCTGTCTGGTTTATTATTATTTTCTTCCTTCTTTGCATTTTAAGACATATTTTGTCCTGTTGATTTTAGCATCAAGCCTGATGTGGCCATGATAAAGTTGAAAGGGAAAAGGAGCAGAGGGAAGGAAGGGACCAGTAATGAACCTGTACAAACCTGACTCTAACCTCCCTCCCATTAGGCTTCCCCTCTGATCAGAAGATAGCCTCTTACAAACATTCATTGCTAGCTTCTCCTCCAAAAGGGTTTTCTCTGATCCTGATTTGGAATGACACTCTCAAAAAGATAGTGAGGGCTTGGATTAGTCCAGTTCCTACAGCTAGGGGCATCTTAGCCTTTGCCACAACAGAAATGCTGCCTGTATATAGACATTCAGCCCCGTCAAGCTGCATTCTAGAAAACCATGTTGCTAAAGTCCAAAGATTTGGGGTTGTCAATAACAACAACAATAATACTAATAATGGGAAAAAATGCTGGGTACTGGTGGTTCACTCTTATAATCCTAGCTACTCAGACTGAGAACTGAGAGCTGAAGATCATGGTGTAAAGCCAGCCTGAGCGTAAGTGAGACTGTATCTCCAGTTAATCAGCACAAGGCCAGAAATGGAGGCATAGCTCAAGAGGTAGAGCACTAGCTTTGGATGCAAAAATAAATAAATAAATAAAAAAGAGTGGGAGATCCCGAGTTCAAGGCTCAATACTGGCCAAAAAGAGAAAAAATATATTACAAAAATTCTGGTCTAGGAAGATGGCCCAGCAAGGTATCAATCGATGACAGTAAGAACTTCCAAGGGGATTGAAAAAAAAATTCTAACCATGCAATAAATGTTTCCAAAATAAAATGGAGGAATCGAGAACTACCATCCATTCCATGAATAACACCGATATACCAGGCACCTGAACCAGCCTTACTGTGAGGTATGTGGTGGTGTTCCAAGGTTTCTGAGGAACCTTATCTTTAGAGCGGCCACTGTGGCCAGCCAACCTCCAAAGCAGTGCATCTAAGAGTGGCTTCCATCAGCTCCCACTGGGCACGCGTACGATGCTGATGTGTTCATAGCCCATATTGGGTAAACAGAGCCCCTGTCATCCCTAGATCAACCTAATGAAACACCTAACACTCTTCATCAACCTTGTCAGAGGTGTTTGTGTCCAGAGAAGTCCGCAGGACTATGCTGAAAGGACATCTATCACCTCTGTGAATGCTGTCATCCCATGGGGAGATGGGAGTTCTTTTCCTGGTGGGTGGCCAGCTAAAGCCCCAAGTTCCTCACTCTTGAGCAGCCATAGCTCTCTACGAAAAGAATCTCAGCCCTCAGTCCCCTGTGGTCTGTGTAGTCAATGAAAGTCAACACTTCACAGATCTCTCAGACTGGCATCAGAGAAGGGGGTCAGAGACACAGGAGACTCGTGGGCATGCATGTGATGGGATGAACATCTGATCTAACGTCTAGACACGGAGCACGGCAAAGGCATGGAGAAGAGGGACACGTGACGAGGGAGGTACTACATACAGGGACGCGTGTTTGAGATACCTACCATCATAATATTCCAAATTCAAAGACTGCTTGTATCAGAACAAAGAAACAACAAATTTAACCAAAGGTGGTCATTAAAAGAAAGGAAAGGAGACAGGAACTAGTTGGTATCCCTCCACCAAGAAGGAAATACCTATACCTTCCCTGAGAATTACAGGCTTGGGGGCAGAGCAGGTTGGGTGGGACCTAACGGTGAAATATGGGGGAGGTGAGCTCAGTCTGGACTCTTCTGGAGACCAATTCTCTGTGCATATGTGACTTTTAACTCGGCAGGCGTGGTAAGGCTGCAGTAGGTTGACTAACTGCAGTGTCTCTGCCTATAGACCTTTAGCTGGTACATGCCATTCAATGCCACGTTTCTGTTTCTTGGCAACAAGGTCAGCTAATTAGGCTCCTCTGTGCAGAGATAGGTGGTTTTTAAACACAAAACAACCAAAGAGAGAAGAAAGAAAGAAAAAAAAAAAAGGAAAAATTAAAATGAAAATAAACAGCCTGCCCCAGTGTATTTCTCTGAATTTTCTTACTGCAAGTTCACGGGAACGCTACCTCTGCCACAGTCTAACACATTCAGACCTTGGGAAAAGGGTGGTCTCTGTGCTCAGTGCATGGCCCATTTGGCTGACTTTAACAGGAAAAGCACCAGTGCCCCATCCTTCTATGTTAAGGTCATGGTCTCTGTCCTGTCACTGGGTGTATGTTATTCATAAGAACAACAGGAAAAGAGGAGAAAATGGGAAAGGAAAGGGCATGAAAATCAACAAGGAAATTTTGAAGAAAGAGGATCATTGGTCATTGATGCCAGTGGGAGAAAGGAGATGGGGGAAATGAGGGCCACTAAGGTAGCAGAAGGACAGAAGGCTCTGATTAACCCCAAGGCCTCGCAGTGGTGATGTACCTGCAGGGTTTGCACCATAAAGTCTGTCGGTCAAGCCCGAACAGTGCCCGACACTTCTTTGGAGTATTTGCATCTGTTAGCATAAGGTAAACACAAAAAAAAATACAACACAATGGTGGGTCGTGCTCAGTTGGATGTGAACCCTCTGGCTACAGCTTACTTGTCTTCTGCTTCACCTTGGCTCTACTTGACAATCATCCCTCACACCAAGGGCATAAAAGGAAAGGACTTCTATGAGTCAAATGGAAAAAAAAAATTCAAATAAAACGATAAAACACACACGGAAAAAAAAAAACAAAACAACAACCAGAAACCAAAAAACAATGAAAAATAAATAAAAAAGAGAAAGAGAGAGAAGAGGAGGGGAGAAGGTGACATCATTTGCTTCTATCTAGGCCAGGATGAGGATCCTGGGCTATCACAGGAAGGGGGTTGGCAGGCAACTTTCCCTGTGAGAGGGGCGCACTGGGGTCTGAGTGGTGGCCCCCGAGGAGGAGCACAGAATGCTGTTTTACAGTGGCATTTTGGAGCAGCAGCAAGAGTAAGCACACCCCTTCATTGAACCCATCCACTGGCAGTGTCCCGCTCCTCATGTCTCCTATGATCCACACACAGAGCTACAAAGCAACAGGCCAGAGAGGGGAGGGGAAAGAATGAAGAAACCAGCTGCAAACCAGCACAGCGAATCTGGGGGACTATACACACCTGCAGGGGCCGCACCAGTTATTCTGCTGATCAAGGCCAAAGCGCGCTCGGCATTTCTTAGGAGCGCTCAGGTCTGAATGAGTTCAAGAAAGGAGCGAGCAGAGGAGGAGGAGGAGGATGTGGGAGACAGGGAGAGAGAGGAAGAGAGAGGGAGAGAGAGAGAGAAGGGAAGAGAGGGAAGGAGGAAGGGAAGGGAGGAAGGGGGGGGGGAGAGAGATACAAATAAGAAAAAATAAAAATAAAAAAGGGAATAAATCAATGACCTGGTTACTAATGGCAAAATATTGACTTTTCTTTTTCTTTCTTTTTTTTTTTTTAGTTTCTTTAATTTAAAAAAAAGGTAAAAAAAATCACATTCTTAATTCAACTTGTGAAATTAGCTGTGGCAAATAAAGCTGCAGTATCCCTTTCTCAAGGACTGTCTCAGATTCCACATGAGCTCACAGAGGAAAGTTAAGATTCTGAAGAACTCACTCTTCCAATTAATCGTTTTCCTCTTCAAAAAATTTTTTTTGTTTTTATTTTAGTACTGCTTTCCCTTTTTTTTTTGTTTCCTCTCAATTATCTTTATTTTAAGTAAGAAAATAAAGCGAAGGAGGGAATTAAGTTTGTAAACATGCTTTTTTTTTCCTTCTGAGGACACGTTTTTAAAAAATAAATAAATAAAAAAGAAATGAAAAACTACAAATAAAAAAACAGAATGAAATGAAACAAAACAGAAAGAAATAAAGAAAGAAAAGGGTTGTGGTATTGGGATATTGCAGCTTTTGGAATGGTCTTGTTTATTCTTTTAATCTGTTTTCATTAATATTAAGAGAGGAACAGAGGCAGGTAAATGGGCCGTGTGAATGAGCTGTTATGGGTTAGTTAAGATGCTCATAGCAACAGGAGGGCAGGCAGAGTCAGCAAAATGCTAGTGAAATTTGCAAATTATGAGCAGAAAAGCAAAAGGAAGAAAGTAAAATAAAATAAATAAAAAGCAAAGGAGAAAATAATCATATTGCGAATGCATGCTTGCGTGAGAAAACTTAGTGAGAGCAATGAAAAAAAATGCCATTAGATTAAGGAGGTTTATTACTGAATTCCTTCCATTTTTTTTTTTTTTAAATCAGTCTCTTTTAAAGAAATACTGCATATTCAATTTGCACAGTTAGTTCAGCTCTAAATCACTGTCATTGCTGCTTTAATAACTGTTATGGGAAAAAGTAAAATAAACAAAACAGAAGGTTAAATCAAATTAAAAAAATAACAGAACTGAAAAATAAAAAAATAATAAATAAATAAGTAAATAAATAATCTATCGAAACATACAAAATCGTGTAGATGGTCACTTTTAAAGAATGTTCAAATGTCATACGTGTTTAATGTTAACCAAATGAGAATGGCAAGAAAAATTAAAAAACGGTTTATCAGACTATTGTAATGACTCAAAATGACATTAGCACCTGTAATCGGAGGAAGTGAAAGGCAAGGATTTAGGAAACATTCGCTGTGTTCTGAAAAAAAAGAACAAATTATACAAAGCCTTCAAAATGTTTGTTTTTTGATGGTTGGTAATAAAAGCCTGGTTTTCTCCGAGGGAGCGCTGGGATTGCCTATGCAGTATTTCTAATTTCTTCTCCAGAATGACAAACCTCCTTAATTTAAAATGGGTGCAATTTACCACTGTAAAGGCATGCATCAGAACACTGAGGGGACGCCCAGTTAATACCCAACACTCGCACGCACCCCTCTTAGACCCCCTAGCCCCTCCTCATCCCTTCTCAGACACATACAAAATAAGCAGAGGCATGCCTACCGCTCGCTCTCCAGTTACAGGCTTTGCAGTTATTTAAAAACACATTCCACTAGAATTACAATGTGCTTTTCATGCAACAATGGATGCTACTAGCTTTAAAAGGGCAGTCATGGAGCAATTAATTAAAATGCATAAACAAAAAAGGCTGGCTGAGATGGGTTCCCCACAATGTCCTGGCCTTGAGTTTTTCCTGTCTCCCCAGATGGCAGCCTGACATAAGAGTGGCCCTCCGACTATGGCTTCTACCCTCACCCTGACTATGGTAACTTACCATTGGTCTCGCCTGGCTGCTTGTCCCTTTTCCTCTTCTTCTTCTTTCCCTGCATGAACAGATCAAACACAGGAAATGAGTTCAAGAAACAGGACGGGAGAACTTGCCTGGGAGGAGACGGTAAAAGAAGGGACCATCCACCACACTTTCCCACATCTACCAGAAGAATCTTCTCCAACCTTCCATCCCTTAATCCAAATGAACTTGAACTGTGCCCTTGCTGGAAGGACTCGCAAAAGAGAAGAGTAGGGAGAATGGATGGTGAAGGAGAGGCCCCATGGTCTCAGTCCCTCCTCAACCACCTTTAACAATGGCTATTATTTGTGGAGCATCTACTAGGTACCAGACATGATGCCTGCCTCTCCACAACAGCCCTTCTTTCACACATTAAAGGTGATGAGCTGCACAGAGCCAATCCCAGCTCTTGGCCTAGCCCTCCTGGTATTTCTGCAACCTGCTAGGGTGTGCATGTGGAATGAAAATAGACAGGTTCTGAGGGACATCTGCTTCAGTCTAGATCTGCATGTGAGCCAGCTACCTGTGTGAATTAAAACTCAGTGTGTGCATCAGTATGTCGAATGCTACCTTTGTCTAAAAGTTTTCTGGTGTCGTAATGTTGACACAGAAAGGATGGCCAGAACCCCAATGATGTGTCCAGCTCTGAAGGAACCTCAAGTGGCACCAGCCAAAGCCTGAGGACATCTCTGTCTTTTCAGGTCCCAGATCTGAGCCACTGGGGAAATGTGCTGTGGCTCCTGAGCAGCATACCTAACATGTGTTATAGTCCTTGGTATATGATTAAAGAAAAACAAAAACAAAAATCAGCGGTGCACTACCTGGCTTAGAATGAGCAAGAATGAGATGATTTAGGAGTCTCGGTCCAAAATACAACACAAATGATTCAGTAGTTGGGCAATAGTACCCACACCGGTGTGCAGGACTTCCCTGCTGCATACACTAAAGGTACTCACAGCCTCCTCCCCGGAAGATCTGGGGTTTAGTTAGGACATGTAACAGAGATGTTCACAATTAAAGCAAGGGGCTGACAATGGGCTTTGAGGGGACAGGGACTGTGTTTTAACAGAAAGATGTGGCAGAATTAATTACCATTATTTGATTGTAAGGCAGGCTGGCTATCTTATAAAAAGAGAAGGAAGGGTCTCACAAGTCAAGCAGGCAAGCAAGATTTACTTCTTTTACCTAAAGCCACAGAAATAATCTAACATGATGTTACTAATGTAGAAGCAAGCATTTTCTTTAGTGCTCTAAGGAATAACCCCAAGAATCACTAGCCAAAGGGGAGAGCTTTACCCACTTCTAATCGCCAAAGCTAGTGACATAAAGGCTCTGTCACATTTGGCTGAAAGCACAGGGTTGTGGAAGAAGAGAGAGGCTAGCTCAGGAAACATTCTCTAGAAAACCTCCAATTTCACAATGACCTAAGTCATCTGCAGATACTCCTATGTCAAGTTAGTTAACAAAGGAAAACTAACAAATATCCATACCAACAAATCTATCAAAGCTTCCATTCTAAGATTCCTGTCCCCAAAGTGTCCTCTGGGCCACTGAAGCAAGAAGCACATGTGAGTTCACAGAAAGGTGTCATGGGCCATCAAAACAGGAATCTGACAGCATCCTTTCTAGATATAAAGTTTGTAAGCCTAAATCCAGACAACCACTAAACCTCTTCCCAAGTCTCAGCATCCCTATTTTCTAAACCACCTTCCCCCATGCAGAAGGGAACAGAAGTAATGCCAAGTACCCTATGGATCTACCAAAACCTAGAACATACATCACAAAAAGCTTAGATATCTACTAGGTAAGTCTCCTTGTAGAGATCTGGGGTATCATTCGCATCATTCCTAGCAGAAATGACACACTTTAGAGCTGTATAGTATACATCCCAGGACGTTGTCCATGAAGTCTCCTTGGTGATCCCAAATTTCTATTGGGGACATGTTCCATAGAGAAGCTGAATGTGCTTCCTGTGGTACCACTCAAGACAACTCAATGAATTGGGTCTGTTGCAGGGAGAAGCTGAATTCTTAAGAACTTGTGACTTGAAGCCAGGAGAGCCACTGTCCTGAAAGTGCACAGCTGTGCGTGTGCAGGCTTAGAGGCTGCCTATGCTGCTGGAACACTCTACCTCGGGGTCAGGTAGGGGTGCACAGAAAGCCTGTGGGAGGGCATTAACTGTCTCATCCGCTTCCTTTCAGTCCCAGAAGAAAGGCTTCCCTGGTGCTCACATGCTAAGGATGAGCCAAAAGGTTCCAAGCACCTAAGACCCTGTAATGTCCATCGGTGGGAGACAAGTGCTCTCAGCTCGAAGTTCCAATCCAGACAGACCTGCACTAATCCCGGTGTCAGCTCCCAGGAGACACAGACAGATGCTGCCAGACAGGGTAGGGCCCAGAAGGGACATAGATGGGATCATGGAATTGAAACCCAGTAGAGTCCTTCCTTCCAGCTCCTTGTCTACACAGCAATCAGCGGCAAACAAGCACAGGTTTCAAGATAAGAAGGCAATTGGAATGATGCAGATAAGATTAGCATGGCCTCTGAACATGGCTGACATACCAACTCTCAAAGCATTTTGTATTTTTATGCTAATAAAAGAAAATCAAGGCGAGAACAGAAATAAAGGGCAGAAGACTAAGCAGAGAGCCAAGGTGAAGTGACTCATTGGAGTAGAAGGAAAGCTGCCACCACTGAGAGCCACACAGGACAATGCTGGTGATTGTCTGGAGGATGGCTATTGCTCAGAGAACAGCCACATCTGACTTGATGCTGAACCCCGCAGAATCTGCCTTGTGCACAGCAAGTCTGAAATCTGGAAGACGGTAATGACCTTGACCCCTACCAAGAGAGCCAGTGCGAGAGTGGACTCGGAGGACTAACTCGCTCAGTGATTCTCCTGGCTCCATGATGGCGGCAAGGGGAGGCACTGAAAGGAAGTTGTATTTGCCCCTCCAAAAAGATGGCAAAAAGAATTCATGAAACTATCTGTCATAAATACTGAGCAAAGAAAGAAGCATTTTACCCATCTAGAGAGAAAGGAAAGCCTAGAATATTTGAGCTACTGGACAAAAGGCAAGGTCAGAAATACTGATAGGAAATGACAGAGGGCTCCGGAGGACAACAGGCAGGAAAGGAGCCAGGGGAATTGACAGTCCTAGCTACTGGGAACCATCTGAAAGCCAGGATGGAAAATCAGGCAAATCCTGCAACAACAAAGAGCCCAGTAACATACATCACCTAACACATGCTGTTCTCCACCCATGTACCCAGCTTCACTTCAACCTGCCAAAGGAAGACTCCACTGGCGACTTTCAGGGATATTTCCATCATGTTCCTCTCAGGATGAAGTAGGCTTTCAACCTTTACTTCAGCCTGGCCTAAAATACTTGTTTTGCTTTTCCTTCTTAAGCCTGGATGTCCGAGGCTAGGGGGTCGAACGTAGTGTTAGAGAGCTTGCCTAGAATGTATATGTATAAAGCCCTGGGTTCAATCCCCAGCATTACCAGAAGGAAAAAATAAGGCCATACCCCTGCTTTAAGACTTGCGAGGGACAAACTAGTTCCCTTCTCCCCTCCTCAGTGGTGTTTCATAAAGCCACACCACTGATGTCTGCCACAGACTACAGAGGACTGAATCTGGAAACTAAGCCCCTCCTTGGGACATATTCCACTTCTCCTAAGAAATGAGCAAGAAGTATGAACCTCCACGATCCAGCACACGGACCCTGGCTTCCTTCCCTCCCTTCAGAATGCCTGTGCTGGCAGACCAGGCAAAAAAATCCTGATGCCACCCTTCAGTTCGGTTAAGAGGATGAGACACAAATGGTCCTAGAAGTGAGAGGAATGGAATGATAATTCCAAGGCCTGCCTCAAGTTGGCAGTGACCATTCTCTCAATCTGTTCAGACCCACACTCTGCAAGACAGCTCTACACAAAACGGTCCACTTACATAGTTATCCCGCGCAGACCAGCCAGGGTACAGCTGCATGTGAAGCTGTCGCTCCTTCCGGGCCAGCTCGTAGTACTTTGCTTGTTCTTCTCTAGACAGTGCATGCCACTGGAAGGGACAGGGGTAGGGCAGAGATAATGCAAAAACATCACCAACTACACTGTGGCCAACAAGGGTGAAGAATGAGTATTTTTGAGGACACGTGCATCCAACAATGGTCCAGTCTGTAGATGCGTGTCATCGACTGGCTCTAGGGTACATGTGGCTGTTCTTGACACTGTGAAGGCTACTTGAAGATTCATATTGGTTGAAAAAGCTGGGTATTAGTAGCTCATGCCTGTAAATCCTAGTCATTCAGGAGGCTGAGATCTGATGATTAAAGTCTCACAGGAAAATCTGTGAGACTCTTATCTTGAATTAACCACCAAAAAGTTCAATTGGAAGTATACCAGCCTTGAGCAAAAGGGAAAGCACAGCATCTAGGCCTTGAGTTCAAGCCCTAACACTGGTCAAAACAATTTTTTAAAGAATGGTTGAAGGGAAAGCCCTTAATCTATTCCCACCACCTGTCCCCCTCCTATTAGGGGGTTACCTACCCTTCGCCCCAGGATCTGGTTGATGGCAGCACTTTCTTTCAATGTGCATTCCGCCACCACCTTTGCTCTCATTTCCTTCATATACAACATGAACGCATTAAGGGGTTTCTTTATGTGGGGTTTCTTCTTTTCTTCTTCCTTTTTGGAGTCCTGATGCTTTCTGGATACAGACAAAACAGACAGACACAAACAACCCAATGAACAATCCCATGGTCCAAATTCCTCCCAAGCCGAAAACCCACACCCGGGATCCTCCCCACCCAAGCCTGCCAGCTTTGAATAAAAAGCACCATTCCACCTCAGACCAGGAACAAAAATAGGTTGGGGAGCAGGCGAGGAAACAAGAGATTCTTTATTGCTTTACCAACAGACATGTTCCCGAGGCCCAGGAGAAGCATACTGACTCAGGTTCCCCACCACGCACACAGGCTTTCAGACAATGTTCCATTTCAGGCTTTGAGGCCAGGAAGTAGCTGCAAATCTCAATCCACCCAAGTCAATCCCCACCCCTCTCCATCCCCCCCACCCTCCCCCTCCCAAAGAAAGATCTCAGCAGGACAGTCAGAGGAAACCATCTCTCTCTTTATAGAAGAGCCCACTTGGCTCAGGTGCTCACTGGGTCCAAGAAGGACACCAAAGCGCGAAGCATGCAGGGACCAGGGCAACACTCACGAGCTGTGCAGGGAGCCGACGTCACTCTGGGAGGATTCCTGTTTGACTGTTGGTGTGACTATGGCCGGGTGGGGAATGCCGGTCGTGTGTAAAGTATGATGTGGTGGGACCATGTGGGGAGGGAACCTAGAAGACAGAAAGCTGTGTAAATCGTCAGAGTCAAAATGAATGAATGAGGAGGGATGTGTACACATAGTTTAAAAGAAAAAAAAGAAAAAGCCACGCAATATTCACATGAAAGCAACCCAAGGCATATGAAACCTGTCAGCATTAATTAGCGATAAATTAAACATCATGATTCTCTAATGTCATTAAAGCCAATCTTCTCCCTTCATTATTGCTACCGACACGAGACATTATGACTTTTAATATCTTTAGCAAAAGACAAATTCAACCGATGTACTAGGTTGGAAAAGTAGGCTTGGACTACCTGCCGGAAATCACACGTCCACCGTGTTTATTTGAAGCATTATTAGTGGGATCTAAGAAGACAATTTCCTAAGTCCTAATCAGCTCTTCAAATGAAAGGTGAAGTCTTTTGTTGTATATTGACAGCTAAATAAAATATTAACGCAGCTGAAACATACATACATTTTTGACAATGCTATGTAAGCCTCATTAAGGCTTATTCTGCTGATGGACTGCAATACAATTTTAATTTTGTTTTCTTTTTGTTGCTATACCACCATTGGACAGGAATAGGAGAGAGTCAGGCAAAAAAAGAGAAATATTATATTCCCTATTTGGTTCTCAGCATAAATCATGGACATTTCAGATAAATGTGCATTCTCTCATAGCCAAATGTAAAAGAAAAGTACAAGTACATGTATACACACAAATGTAAAAAAATGAAGTCTCATTTTATGACCTTCCTCCTGTATGATTTAGGATCCCTTTATTACTTTCACTTAATACGTTATTTATACATCATGCAAAAGCCTTCTAAATGACTATAAAAATTACAAATAAAAAAAGGATACAAGCCGGGTGCTGGTGGCTCATGCCTGTAATTGTAGCTATTCAGGAGGCTGAGATCTGAGGATATGTTCAAAGCCAGGCCAGGCAGGAAAATCTGTGATCTCTTATCTCCAATAAACCACTCAGAAAACCAGAAGTGGTGCTGTGGCTCAAGTAGTGGAGTGCTAGCCTTGAGCTGAAGAGCTGAGGGACAGCGCCCAGGCACCGAGTTCAAGCCCCATGACCAACCAAAAAAAAAAAAAAAAAAACGAAAGAAAGAAAGAAAGGATACAGTGGAAATAGAGGTGTGGCTCACTTGATAAAGCACCAGCCTTGAGTGGAAGAAGCTAAGTAAGAATGAGCAACTCTGAGTTTAAGCCCCAGTATTTGCACTCAAAACAAATTGTGCATGTATGTGTGTGAATAAAAAAGCTTTTTAGTGTTTAACAAATAGTGTATATATAAGTATAAAGTTTGAGTGTTCTCCTATAATACTGTTTACTTCTGAAAAGTTCTCTATAATACATGTTAGTCCTTGAGTTGGCATTTTCCAACCATGCAAATTAACCAGGACACAAAGAACTAGTTTCAAACTGCCCTTGGCCCATCTGCAAACTGACAACTAGATGGGATGAATGAATTACCCCTTTTCTGATATGCTTGGAGCTTCTGTGCCATGTCCTGGGTAAAATAATTGTTCCCTATGTTCTCCCCTAACCCCCTCACAGTAGCATATACCGTGGAGGAAAGGTGGAAAGGAAAAGGACCAAATCTCAAAGAATACAAAATGGCGGCCCTGAGCTCTGGTCCGGAGACACTGCAGGAAACAGCTGGTAGTCTGTCCAGGTGAAAGGCATGTAGATCATGGCAACCACTGCTTTCCTAAATACACCAAACCCAGAATAGACCAAACCCCACCCTACCACCATCCCAGGAGAAACAATCTACTCTTTAAAAAACTCTCGCTCCAATGGAAACAAGAGATCCTAATAGGGCTTTATCATAAACTATTCCAAATGGTATTCTACTTAAAGCCGGAGCACTTTCCATAAATGGACTGCAAATCATTTTTCCATTTAGCCCAAATAATGTAGTTATTTACAAAAAAAAACTGGCTTCAAAAAAATGAAAAAATGAGCAGTATACAGATGAATAGAGACAATGTTATCAGACACTTTGTATTCATATACTGTTTTGTAGAATGGGAACTTCTTTGTACAACCACTTAAAGATAATAAATTTTTCTTAAAAAAATCCATAAACAATGCTGATCTTTGTATGGCCCAGGGTCACCAGAGCTACCTGACTCAGAAATTCCATTGTGGAGTGAAGCCCTCCCATAGCTGTCTTCACAAACTTAATCCAGTGTTGTACTTTGAGAAGGATGTTTTTTAAATAAGAACCAAGGAGAGAGAAAAGGAAAAAGTAAGGGGCTAGGAGAAACATAACTAATCTCTATTCCCTTCATAAAATGGAAAAGAAGAACAAACACTTGGGAGGCTCAGGCTCTTTGTCATTGCTTGAAGGGTTCAGTGGAAACCTGAGTTAAGAACACGTGTTCTTTGCAGCCCTTAGGTGAAGAAGTAAAGTGGCAGATTTTACTGTGAGTTTGAATACATATGTTCCCAGACGAGAGAAACGGGGAGAGATTGTGTGTGCACATGCATGCATATTTGTACACACATATGCACCAAATCACCAAAGAGGCAAAGCCAAGTGCTAGTGGTGGTTGATGCTTGTAATCCTAACTACTCAAGGGACTGAGATTTGATGATTATGTATTGAAGCCAGCCTAGGCAGAAAAGTCCGTGAGACTCTCATCTCCAATTAAGTACCAAAAGAACTGGAAGTAGAGCTGTACCTCAAAGTGGTAAGTGCCAGCCTTGAGCAAAAGAGACTGTGTCTATGACTTGAGGTCAAGCCCCAATACTGGCACAAAACAAAACAAACAAACAAACAAAAGCATAATTTGAGAATGAGGACAAATTGAGGATGAGGACCAATTTCAAGCGTATCCATGAAGAACAAACACATCCAAGCTACCCCTACCGACCTACTCATCTATCTGAAAAATGTACAAGCTGGGAGACTGGTGCATGCCTGCCTGCATGACCTGTGTGAATACCTCCACTCCAGAAATTTCCTTTCTGCAGACAACTGTTTCATGAAATGCAATAAACACCCTAAAAATTCCAAGCAGCTCATTATACACCCCCGTCTGCTCTTATGGCTCCAAGCCAGAATATAATGATGAACCTTAACTTGTTAAGGACAACTAATTTTTGTTTCTGGCTGTCTCGGGGGTTTCTCTTGGACTCACTCTCACTTTGCTTCACTGTTGACACGTTTCTGTTAACTGGATGTCATCTGCCGGCCTTGATTTTATGCACAAGCAGTAGGATGCATTTTCCTGTGCAACAATCCTGCTTTGAGTTGCATTAGGTTTGTCATTATTCTCTCATTTTCCCCCTTGCACTTGTAACATTTCATCTCTTCCTGCCTTATTTTTTGTGAGCCACGGTGCACCCACATTATGGTTTATACATGATCTCGCTCTCTTTGAAGCCGGCAGATTTCAGAGCCCGCTCTCGTCAGGAGAAGAGCCTTGCACCAATTTAGCAGGCTGAGGGCCTGGAGCTCCAACATCTCAATCTAAAGGGGGTCACAGGGTGGCACAAGTGAGTGTCAGCAAGAGCTGTTTAATTGCCAATCTAGGCTTCTCCATGGTGTTTAAAGTATAATGACCCATCACTTAATTCTGAGAAGTCCTGGCCCCGCTGCTGAATAGAATGAATTATCAAAGGGTGTTCTGCAACAGGGCAAGCTGCCTACATTTGCTATAACTGCCATAAGTATAATAGACCTATACTTCTGTCGCTCCATTACCACAATAATGTATTTAATTTGCTGTATACGCTTTTTAACTAGCTATCTTTCATATAGCCTACCTGGGGAATCGGCCGCTGCCTCCTCCTCCCCTCCCCTCCCCCACCTTGAGCCCCTAACCTTTCTTCCCACTGCTCCCTTCCTTTCCTGTAACATGAAATAACCTCCTAATGATAATTCAATTGATAAGCTTAACCCCCATCCCTATTCTGTGATTCTGTGATGACTTCAGTATTTTCCATCTCTGGATGTTCCGATAAACAAACACCAAGAATGACCAGGGAGAGATGCAGGGGGGGAGGGGGGAGAGCTGCAGGTCCTAAGCCGCTCCCTCTCTCCTCCTAGGAGGCTCCCCATTTGTTGCTATCCTTTGTGGGGCTGTGATGACATCATTTGACGAGTGGTAACCTTCCTACTCTCACTAGATGCAAGGATCCTCCCCCCCCCCCCCCCCCCCGGCCAAAAGTATGTTCCCACCTAACTAATATTGGCCTGCATTCTGAAATGCAGGTGATGTACCATACCTGGGAAGTGGATCTTGGTTATTACATGCGACCTATGGCACCATTACAAATGCTAGATACACTTAAGTGATTCTCACTCCGTTCCTCACCCAAACAGGGACTTGTATGAAAGAATAGACGCATCATGGCCTGCTGTCCCAGAGCTACCTCTGGCCGTGGCTTCTCATGTGGGCTACAGAGAGTAAGGCAAGCATCTCTGCCGGGTAATGCATGCTAATTACATTATGCACCATCATCAAAATGGATTGGTTCTTTCAGCCCATCAGGAAAGTCTAAACCTCCACCGATTTAATTAACTTGACTGAAAATCAGATGAACAGAAAATAAAACTATCATTAGGAGCAATTAGTGACTACTTAAACATACTGCTGCCATCCAGTTTGTAAATAAACTAGCAGTCACTGAAAAATTAGCCAGAATTAATTAGAGGGGGCAAAAGGAGAACTTAGAATATGTGTGTATGTTGGGTATTCTTTATAGTCCTCAAATATAGGCATACAAGAATGTGTGTATACCCACAATTACTGTTTTCAAGCTTTCATAGATTTTGGTCTGCACAGGTCAATTAAGTGGCTGTTAGGCACATGTGGCTATTGAGTACTTCAAATGTGGTACAAATTGAGATGCACTGTGAAGAGACACATCAGATTACTAAATCCAGGCACCAAGAAGAAGGTAAACTGTATTAAAGGGGTACAGTGGTAGCATGTCCAAATAATAGTATTTTTGGCCATACTGTACTGAGTTGAGCAAACATCCCTGAAAATAACTTTACCTTAAAAACAAAACAAAACAAAACAAAAGCAACCAAGATGGCTACTAGAAAAATGTAAAAATCCATATGTACATGGTTCATTTTAAACTCAGAAGGCTTTCTTATGGACTCTCAATCAGAATCCAAGCTTTGAAAAGACCAGTGGGTTGTTTTTTTTTTCCAAACTCATTATATAATAATAATAAAATGAACACCAGGTTCTTCTTTCTTACCAAGCACAGGACAAGACAGAAATGGCATTTTGTGTATCCTGACTACTTTCCTCTACAGGCCCTTACGAAGTTGGTCAAATTCACTGTCCCAGGATGGAACCTTACAACTGGACACTGCTTGACTTGGAAGTCGAGATGGCTAATGCCACATCTGTTTTGCGCTCTTTGTTCCTAGGTGGCGTGGCGGCTGTCTAAAGGGCTGAGAGCCGCCCTGTATCCTTGGATGGAGGTCTTGTTCTTGGAACTCACCTGGACATGGAAGCGTTGACAGTCAGCGCTGTGGGGTAGGGGTGCCTGAATCCTCCTGTCGTGATTGGGTATACTGGTTGACCTTGCCTACAAAGAAGGGGTACAAAGTGAGAGACAGGAAGCGAGGCTGGGGGCGGGGATAAGAAAAAGAAAAGCCGGGAAAAGTTCTCTGCATAGTAAGCTTTATTCTCATTTGATCAGAACAAAAATCTTGGGGATTGTACAGGAAGGATCAAAGGGAAGAAACACAGAACAATTTGAATGCCATAAATCTGATAGGAATGGCTAATTAAATTTTATAACCTCTGCTTATGTCAATAGAGACCCTCTCCCCAAGCTGAAACTAGGTGTTTTGTTGCAATAATTAAAGGCGAAGTCTCACTTGCTTTAATGGAGCCATCACACTAATTGAGGGCTACACATCCAAAGGAAAACAATAATGAATGTAAATTTATACCAAAATAAAGTACAGTGAATCAAAGGACTTTGGTTGCGCTTTGGGCCTCTTTCGGTATTTAGATCTCGGTGAGAAAACATTAAATTAACAGAGCTTAATTTGTAGCCTTTTGTCAAATTAACAAGTGTTGACAAGAGTTACCGGGGGGAGAGTCCCCAAGAAGAATTGTGGGTAACCAATAGACAATCACACCTCATTACAATAATTAAAAAATACAGCAACATGCAAAATAGCATCCTCATGAAAGACACACAACTTTTCCTGACAGAGGGCTGTCTGAGCTGGCAATTCTTTTTCATCTAGACTTCAGTATCTCCCCATCAGCTGACTGAGTGGGCCACATATGACTGAGAACTATCAAGGATTGGTCCCATCCATTTGAGAAGAAATGGGTCACAAGCTCCATGCTCATATCCACTGCACTGGACTAAAAATAAGAACTAAAAATAAGAAACTGCACCCAAAGCTGAGGGTAGAGGGCAATCTGGTTTTGTTTTTGTTAAAAAAAAAAATAGCACAGAATCTAGAGAAATCAAGGTAGAATTAAGAGATGAACTACTTCAACATATAATTTTTGGTAAGGTTACAAAAGGCTCTCCTCCCTAAGACCCAAATTTGAGAGTTTTATAGAATTTATTTTCACATTCAACATTGCCCTGTGGTTTTTATAGTATGCATCACTGATATACCTGGAGAAATGTATACATATGCACCAATGTATAATCTCAAAACATTCCATGCATGTTTATGTGAACACACAATATGCACAAGGCATTCCTTCTTACACATACTTTATGTATACATAAGCATGCAGTACTGTATATATGTGTTTGTGTACATGCATGTATGTAGTTACTAGGGATTGGACTCGGAGCTTTGAGCTTGCTGGACAATCTGCCCTAGATTTGAAATGCATTATGCTTTCAAGCTACAAAAGGCAGTTAATCTGAGCACTGTGAAGACCTAGGGCTTGTAGCAGGGAAATCCTGCACACAGCAAGAATTCCAGCTGCCTTTCCTCACCCTCCACATGCAAACAAACTCTCCAAGAGATGGTTCTTAAGTGACACAGAGGCTTCACTTTCCTTTTGTTGATGCCAATCGTTAGGAGCAATGGCTGATTTGGGACTGGGCATACATTGCTGAATGAGGAGAATTCCCAATTGCACCCAGAGCTCACCAATGTTGCTCCTATTCTAGTCCCCTTATAGGAACCACCTAAAAGGGAGAGCTCGGCCCAATGACTCCCACCCACAGTCAGTTTTATTGTGTAGAAGCCCTCAGAGCCTCTAGCAATTCCAAAAATACCCTGTTCTGGGGCTTGAACTCAGAGCCTCACACTCTCACTCTTCTTTTTCTCTCATGGTTGGCACTCTACCACTTGAACCATACCTCCACTTCTAGGGGAAGGAGCCTTTTTTGTTTTTGTTGTTGTTTAACTGGAGATAAGAGTCTCACAGACTTTTCTGCTCTTTTCTGAGATCTGAGGATCTCAGCCTCGAGTGGCTAGGATTATAGGCATAGTATCTGGCAAGTATCTTAAGCATACTCTGGGGACTGTGGATCTAGAATAGCTAGTCCCCCTTCTACATAACCTATTTGAATGGCATATTTGCCTGCAGTCTTGGGATACCTCAGCAGTATTGCCCCATGCTATCCTGTCAGCCCTGCTCTTCTGAAACATGTGCATGCACATAACACACACACATACATGCACACATACATGCACACAGGCGCACACACAATGATAAGCATGCCCATTTAAGCAACAAAAAAAGAAGTCGAAAAAAAAATGGAACTCCTTACTGTGGTACTAACCATCCTAGCGGATGGGGGATCTGTCCTACAGTGCCGGGCGATAGTGGATAATACGGAGATATATCTGGAGGGTGTGGAGGCCGTGGGATTCCTGGGAGAAAAAAAGTAGCAACATTTTAAGTATTGAGAAGGGAGAGAATGCAATTGCAGCTGTTGGAGGATGGAAACGAGGGGAAGGATAGAGAGGGGCATCTATCACTTCCTGAATCCCATCATGAGGCCATTCAGGATTCTCATGTCAAGAGTTGTAGCTGGGGTTTCTGATCATTTTCTCAGAGCCTCAACTTGGACATTTCATTTCTAGGTGGATGAGTAACTTGGCTGAACTCAAGACTTAGAGAATTCCATCTTTGGTATTTCTGTCTCTTGTGACTCAAGGTGATTATTTTAAGCTTAAAAAAAAATCAGAAGGGCTTGGCACATAGTAGGTGAACACATAATTCCTTTGGCCTTAGGACTTGTCCTTCTCACTGTAAATGAGTTTCCCACAAAGTGTTACTTCTCTTCTTGGTAACACTATTTTGCATTTTTGAGATAAGCTTTAGGTAGCCCAGGCTGTACTCCCATTTGTGATCCTCCTGTTTCTACCTCTGGAGTGCTAGTATTGCTGGCATGCCTTGTAACTCAATTTTAAGCGAGGGCTTGGAAGTGTTACCCTACCATCTTTCCAAAGACGTAAATCCTATAGGTTGCAAGTACCTGAGAAGATGGGTTGTGAAAACCACCACACGCCAATTGGCATCTTATTCCCAGACGTCAGAACTGAACAGGCAAGGAGAAGCCAGAAGCTTGGGGTGCTCAGCCAGCTGGGGAACCCACCACCCCCTCCTCCCATTGAATCAAAGGGGCCAGGACCCTTCCCAAGGCACACATCAAAGTGTGCTGAAGGGACACACCGCAGCACGCTTCTTAATTTCATAGGAGCAATTCTGTCAGGGGGCTCTGATCTGTACAGTAAAGCAGTAAGCAAAAAGAAATGCACAGAAAAGCAGAATTAACATGGAGTACTGAACTGAGTGAGCTGCATGTACATGAATTCTTTAAAAAAAAAACAACAAAACTTTTTTTGAAAAATTCGTTCAGGAAGCTTTTAATCTATAAATTAAGTCTCCCTGGGTGACATTTTCACGCAGACATTGCTTTCTCTCTATTACAAAAACCAAACAGATTAGCTGGTGTTGGACCCTACACGGAGCCATTTGCACACTTGAAAGAATGTTCACAGAGGAAAAGTAAACAGTCCACAGACGTTAATCATATGTTTTACGATAACCATTTAAAAGCTATTCCCTAGTCTACCATTATTTAAATGAGACATTGACACTGCCATTCACTTGCAGAGCCTGGGGCAGGCTTACTGCCTCTTCCAGCCCTGCTGCGCTAGCCTGGGTCTTCCACCAGCACAAAGGGGGCTCAGAGGCTGAGTGAGAACCAGCTAATGTGTGGCTTCTTTCAGGGGCAGTGGAGGCCAGGCCACCTCACCAAAGCACCAACAACTCCCTTTGAAAAGAGACTCAGAAGGGCCATTAGAGACCTATCCCTCCAGTGGACTAACCCACTAAGTGGGAGGGGAGCCTCTGAGCAGCCTGAGCCTTTGCTAGTCTCCTAAGTGGACCGGTCCACAAGCTGTGGATGTCCGTTAGACTTGACCTTGTAAGGAGGAGTATAAGGTGACTCTGTCTTCCTTGCTTCTCCTCTCTTGAAAAACAAACAAAAACAAAACAAGACAAACAGGCAGCAACAAAAATTGGAAACTGGTCAATGATCGAGTGGGAAGAAGAGACGGAGGGATACAATGGCTGGAGGAGAACGTAGCAGCATCCGCCTGGGCCCCTGTTGGTTGTCCTAACATGATCTTCCCGGACTTCATTTTTCACATCTATAAATTGGGTTTGACAAAACAAAGGATGCAAGGGGGCCCAAGGCGAGGAACCAAATATAGCCCCCCAAAACCCCGTAAGGAATCCAGCAATGAGTTTGTGCTAGTGACTTGAGGTCCTTAGAACCAATGCTGTCAGGCCTCTTATCCTCCCAGGAAACTGAGCCAGAGTCTAGGAGAGGCCAGTAGGAGAGGCCTCTACTCTGTTTAGGCAGGAATCCAACGCTGGGTTCCAAAGATGACCCCCTTTCAGGTCCCCTACAGAAATCGGATTCCTACAAATGGACTTCTCCAAAGGGAAGAAGAAAAGGATTACCCTGCCAAGATGCGGCCTCCTAGGTCCTATTCAGCCTCTACCCTCATTTCCAGCCCCGTCTCTGTAGGCCCACCTGGACTCCCTATGGAGGCCCACGCAGTCCTCTGGAGACCCTCAAGCCCAGCCCAGCCTTCTACCACAGCAGCCCAGTCCATGACCTACCTGTTTTGGGGTCTACGTCAGCTGGTAAGTGTGGAGGTGGGTTTCCCGGGGTGAAGTGTTCGTTGCTGTAGGTGATGAGAGGCGTGAGCGGGTGGACATGGTGGGGGTGCTGCACCACGGGCACTTTGTTCGACTGTCGGGGAAGAACAGAGGAAGCCACTGTCAGCTGGCCCCGGCAGCCCAAGACTTCAGAGCACAGGCCCTGGTCCCCTGCAACACCCTCGCACCTTGATGTCGTGAGAGACACTCAACCCTGCCCACACTATCCCCCACCTCCCCAATCCACTTAAAAGTAAGAAGTAGTTTTTAAGACGGCTCTCTGCCTAGGTCTGCTTCCGGCTTTCACCTCCCTACAGAGCCTGGCTTTTAAACACCCTCTTCATCACCACCCAACATGGAGCCCAAGGCCTTTGCACTTTTCCCATTGGCAGGTGAGTCGGAAATGGGGACTTTTATCTCCTAGGCCTACTGCACTGTGCACATAGGGGGGGATCTCCAACCTCCCAAGACCCCACGGTGGGACCTCCAGGAGGCAGGCTGGCTTCACAGGGACCAGCCAGGAAAACCTTCATTTACAAGAAACCTAACAGGGCCCAAATCCCACCCACCCAGCCTCCGAGCCCACCTCCCCACCCCCCCTTCCTGCTCTTGGAAACAGCAGGCACACAAGCAATCCTTCCCATGAAGCCAGGATGAAAAGCCCCACTCAAGCTTTGGGTGGGAGTATGAACTTTACTAGAAAGCTCTAAACTGCTTGGCAAGCACCTGCATATTTTATGCAGATTACCACAGCCCTGATTCATTAGGAATTTCATTAGGGAGTCATCAGGGACCACTAATAAATTAACTGGATGATGATGAATTGGCCTAATAAAAGGTATGCATTTGAGAAATGGACTGTTGGAGCAAACAAACTACAAGCATGGGGGGGGGGGGGGAACCTGTGAAGGGAAGCAGAAAAAAAAAAAGAATTTTAAATATGATTCTTGTCATCCACAGGCCTTCCGTAACCGCTCTCCTCTTCCCCCAGCTGATATTCCATCCACTCCCCTCCTCCTCTCAGCCCAGCAAGATCACAAAGAAAAAATTAAGCTGAAACAAGCGAACTACTGGGCCATTTACTGAGAGTAATCCAATTGCAAAAAACCCTATTCCCAATAGAGGATTTTCACTAAAATCCTACAACAGGGACATTTAACCAGATTAGGTACCAGGGAAGATAAAGAGGCTAGTGTTAGCTGATGAATGGATTAGAGTCAAGTTTCATTTTCGAACGTGTCTTCATTTCCTTTTATTACTTTTAGGAAGGCACAACTTGCATTAACATCAAGGAAAAGGAATTGCATTAAAAGAAAAGAAGTCAGGTTCTAGCGCTGCCCACTAGCGCCTCTTGAGTTCAGGGACCACTGAGCAGTTAGCTTTCTTAGAGTCAGTCTCTGGTCTTTTTCTTTTTTAAGGGATGAGGACCACATGTAACATGGGAAGAACTCTTGCTAACCCTCAATTATGAAGAAGACAACTTTATAAAGTGCTGGGTACTGGAGGCTCACACCTATAATCCTAGCTACTCAGAAGGCTGAGAACTGAGGATAGCAGTTCAAAGCCAGCCCAGGTAGATAAATTTGAGAGACTCTCTATCTCCAATAACCAGCAAAAAGCCCAGAATTAGAAGTGTGATTCAAGTGGTAGTACGTAAAAGCTGAGTGAGAGCTCAAGGCCCTTGGTTCAAGCCCCAGTAGAAGTCTAGTTCAGGCTCCAGAAAGAACTACAGAAAAAGACTATCTCTCATGGCTTTGTTTACAGAGTCCAATGAACTTGGACTCCTCCAGAGAAAAGGGCTAGCTGGTTGCTCTCAGAAGCCTGGTTACCATCCTGCAAATTAAAATAATAAAGCTAAAGCCACCAGAGTAGAGGAAGCTTTGGAAATGATGAATATTCTCTTAGAGTTGGCAGCCAGGAAGATCTAGACCAGGCTGTGACCCTGAGGACAGTGACCCTGAGGACAGTGCCCTGCTGTGCCCAGGCAAGTGCCACACCTCACACCTGTGCAGAGAATCTTCTGAGGAGCATCCCTTAAGGGAACATTTGTATTTAGAATGAGCTTAACTCTCACAGTGTGCTGAGATAGAGGGAGAGAAAGAGGATTGTGGGCAGAGTGGAGAGCATCAGGAGCAAAAGAATAACTGCTACTGTCTCCTTAAAGTTTTCTATTTGGTTGGAAAGATACACAGCACCTGTACCTTCTTATGACAGAATGCAGGTGGCTCCAGCCAGCTTAAAATAAGTCTGGTCGGGACTGGTGGCATGGCTCAAGTGGTAGAGGACTTGCCTAGTACTAAGCCCAAGGCTCTGGGTTCAATCCCAAGTACTGACAATAATAATACTAGGAATAAGAAGGAAGAGAGGGAGAAGGAAGAAAAAGAAATAAAAACAGGGACATAGGCAAAGAGGGCCCAAGATTATCAGGTACCACTGAAGCAAGACCACCCTAAGAAGAGAAAACAGGCATGTAATCCCTCACGGAACCCAAGAGGAATGGAGGTTGAACACCACCACCTGTGGTTGTCAACCCTGGCTGAGTCACACACCTTTCAGGACATTTATCACGAATTTACAATCTGGTCCTAGAAAATAAGAGTAAGTCTAAGACTCAGGATGCAGGCTATAGAGCTCTACGGCTGGTTCTCTCTGCAGGCCTAAGTGAGAAGCCCTTATTATTTGTTTTTATTAGGGAGGAGCCGCCAAGTGATGTGGTTCTGTCTACAGCATAAAAACACAGATTCCAAGGTATTTTCTAAGTAGATGAATGGGAAATATGAGAGATACTACACTCAAAAAAATGAGTGTAATATTTCAATTTTAATTCTCCCTCTTCATCTTAGATACATGTGGAAGGGCAAGTTTAATAAAACAATCTCCTTGACAGTCATTGATGCCCCTGTATGGGTTTGTATACCTAACCCTACCTAACCAGCCTTGTGACCAGTCAAAGCTCTGTATTATGGTGATGGAGTAGAAGGCGATAGGGGATCAAATTGGAATTGTATGTGCTGCCTGTCTTTAGCATGGAGGGGGGGGGGGGAAGAGGGAGGAAGGGAAGGAGAGAGGGAGGGGAAGAGGGAGAGAGGGAGGGAGGGGAAGAGGGAGGGAGGGAAGGAGGGGAAGAGGGAGAGAAGGAGGGAGGGGAAGAGGGAGAGAGGGAGGGAGGGAGGGAGGGGGAGAGAGGGAGGGAGGGAGGAGAGAGAGAGAGAGAGAGAGAGAGAGAGAGAGAGAGAGAGAGAGAGAGAGAGAGAGACCTACTATGGTATTCCTGTCTGACCTTCATAATACATCACTAGGACCTGACTGGTTCTAGTCTTGAGAGCAGAACTGACTGGTTTCAAGACTAAGTCTGACGGATCTACCTGCTGCAACTTACCTTAGCCAGGACTGTTTTATGATGGAGTGTTTTCTTACAAATGTCTGTGCTTTTCCAGCCTCAGAACCTTATGGGTTCTTCCTTTCCACGTGATGTCCTTCCCATTGCTATGTCCTTAAGGACATGATCTGTGTCTAGAACTCTGCATCCCATACCATGTCCAAACAATGGGGGCAGTGAATACTGCTTCAAAAACTTCACAGAGGAGCCGGGCGCTGGTGGCTCACGCCTGTAATCCTGTAATCCTAGCTACTCAGGAGGCTGAGATCTGAGGATCGAGGTTCAAAGCCAGCCCGGGCAGGAGAGACCGTGAGACTCCTATCTCCAATAAACCACCAGAAAACCGGAAGTGGCGCTGTAGCTCAAGTGGTAGAGCGCTCGCCTTGAGCTGAAGAGCTGAAGGACAGTGCCCAGGCCCAGAGTTCAAGCCCCACGACTGACAAAAAAAAAAAAAAAAAAACTTCACAGAGAACCCCAAACCCACAACTGCACATGGCAGAAGAAAAAGAGCAGGACAGAGCCATCACACGGGCTTGTTTTACATAAAGACTAGGCTCTTTCTAACTAATCTGCATGGCATCAGAGACAGGGCTGAACAGTCCTTCTGAAACAGTCCAGTCCTATCCTATGCAGACGCCAGGTCATTGGCACCAGTGCCTTTAAAATGGTTTTAGACTGTGTGGGCTTCAAACAGGAACTAAGAGTAAGGGCTGTGAATTCAAGGAATTCCTAAGCATCTCTCAAGGTCTGGCTGGGTAACCTTTCCTCTCTCTTGCCCTGAAGACCTTGTTTCTGTGTCTATAAACTTTGGGGAAGTACTGTGTGAACTGTGAGGTTTGTGGAGATAGAATGAGGCAGTTTATACAAAGTGCTCAACACTGTGTGGATCACTGTTAAACACATTCTACAAAACTTTGCAAACTACAATCCAGCAAGTATAAATGGTAAGGAAGCAAGCTGCTCCTCTAGAAGCTTCTAGCCTAGACTGCATCTGTGGTTTCAAAGGTAAAGATGTCATTAGTGGGGCAGGACTATATGAATGACCTCTGGTCATCCTGCTTCAGTCACATGCCCTTCTTGAAAATGTGCATTTTAATACTATATTTCCATTATTATTTCTCGTGAGAAAAACCATCACTTTCCTATGTCAAGAAGTGAGACTGCCACCAAGAAGTTAAGAAGACACTTGAAGATAACCAAATCCTTCCAGAACAAGGGCAAGGACCTTTAACATAAGAGCTAATATAAATAAAACAGAAAAAAAAAGTAAAAAATAAGGACTTCCTTTGACTTTCTCCTTCTCTCTGAACAGCTCCTATTACTTTAGAGAGATCTGTAAGTATTACGTTTAAAACCGTTCTACCCTAAGAAAATCCAGATGTGGAAAGTGAGGGGGAGGGTTAACTTTCCCGAAATGCATCATGGGAAATAAAAACAGCAACAATCAGAGCTGGGGGTGAGGAGGGAGGATGGTGGTACTGGACTAAAAAGCCTATAATAATTACCTCCTCCCCCTTTTATCTTTGGAGAAACAGAATCGAACACTCAAGGCAACCACCTGTAACATAATTCTGGGTACCTTAGAAAGTGATTACTTTCCCTAAGAATGTCTTCAGAACTATCTGGGGTACAAAACCAGTGACAACTAATGTTCAAGGCCATAGTGGTGACAGACAAGGAAGATTAAGTTATTATTATCTGTTTCACCCTGTGAG